TACCATTTAGGTGTAAATATGGTACAAAGTTGTACCTTTTAGCTTTTGCACTTTAGGGTACTGGCCAGGAACAGCTTTGTACTTTGAGATTGTACAGGTTTGTAATGACATGAGGAGAGTAAATGATGACAGAATGATCGTTTTTGGGTGAACTCTTGCTTTAACTGTGCGTTCGGTTCTCAATCTACACCGGGACTCACTCTTTTTCTCTCCGGTCATTACACGATGCACGCATGGCACACAAGGCTGCTCTTTCCACTCTAGCCAATCTGCTGGCCCATAAAAGGGCTGCTTTTTGTGGAGAAGCCCAGATGACAAGAGACATACACATCCCCATATCTCAACATCCCACAGTTTCCGCTCCTGTCACTATCCATTACATGGAATTGAGTCGTGGATGCGGCAAGCAAGAAGATCTGTACAAATTGCCCAGAAATACGGTTGCTACACCCATGCGGTGCTAAGCATTCATCAGCATCCATGCCAGCATCTCCTCGCTCCACACGCGCCAATGAGCGCCGCCTGCCAAAGCTGAGCTCAGATTTACTGTCGCGGTGCTTCCTGACAGATATTCCTGGGGTTTAAAGTCTCCGCTCGACTGTTAAGAGTGCAGCTGGCACGCTCGAGCTCCTGTGCAAACCTGTAGACAGATCCATCTCCATCGCAGATGATACATAACGTCCCTCCGAGGCCCGTGTTGCATGTGGAAGCCAGGCGAGAGACCTGCGTTTGGGGGCCGTCCATGAAAGATCAATGGGAAATAAGCAGAATAAATGAGCCAGATGGCTCATGTTTAGGCAGAACTGATGGGTGAGGTTTTCTTGGAGCAACTTTATGGCAAAAATATAAATCTGGCAACCAAACACATTAACTTTGTGTCTTACTTGGACAATCTGTGTTTCCTGTGGCCTCAAACAGATACCTGTTTTTCCTGGTGGAAATCCTTTGGTAATATAACCTCCAAAGCGCTTTATTAAAAGCAATATCCTTGAATGATATTTTAAAATTTAAGTCAACAGGCAACAGAGACCGCAACTCATTTTACTGCCATAATGTGACGTCTTGTGAAACAGTTTATGCAATAAAAATAAAAACCGTGGGCAAATTGACTGGATCGACGGGACCAGAATTTGGTCGGAGCTAATGGAAAGTTTGCATTGCCAATAGCCTTAAGATTAACCAAAAGCCCAAGAAGTGTAAATCTAGTGAACAAAATTACTGACAAAACTTTTAGTTGATGAAAAGTTCTTTGATTTTTATCAAAGATAACGAAGATTAGATGGAAAATGTGCATCATGACGATGCTTCATAATCAAATTAAAAAAAAAAAAAAAAAAAAAGAA